ATACTCTCCAGAGAGAGACAGACAGAGGGGAGAGAGAGAAAGCACCCCGCAGTGGTGCATGGTCACACTGCAGTCCCTTCTCCATTTTCCCTCCCTGTCAAGATTTTGGACACACACACGTACACTCTGCATGTTTTCAAGTTGCTGGGGCCAGGATTCAAACCATGATTTGGATCCAGGTCACGTAACCATTAGGCCACGTGGTCGATCCCTTTTCTGTGTTGTTAGCATTAAGCTTTCTCGGCCTCAGTTTTCTCATCTTTTAAATAGGAATAATAAAATCGCACAGAGATATTGGAAGATTAAATATATGTACAAAGAATACTTAACACTGGGCCAGAAACCTATAGCGGGCACTGAATATGTAATCGAGGCTAGTATTTCTATTACTATGTAATCTAGACTAGTGTTCCCATTAGTATCCACAACTTGACAATGTCTTTCAATAACAAGCACCTTGGCAAATGTATCCATTATTACTTTAAAATTATATTTCAATCAAATTACATAAGCTCTAAATAAATACAAAGTAATACAGTAAAGAGAAAACAGTTCAGGGGCATAACTTTTTTGGGGGGGGCAGCTCAGTATAAGATATTCTTTGGTAATTATGATAGGTATTTTTTCTTTGCCTTGTTTTTGGCTTTCATTTTGTTTTTCCTAATAAGAAATATTTAACTTAATCTTTTACATGATAAACTTATATCTCCTATTATCCAAAGATCCTTGTAAAATCAGTGTAGATAATTATAACTAAAAATATCTGGGGAAAAGTTTATTTAAATTCTTGAAGCAGGTATTTTTCTTCTTAGCTTTGTTTTTGTTTTTAGTAATAATAGCTCTATAATAATCCCTTGCTGATGGAAGAGTTTTCGCACATCACCTCGGTATGTGACCATAACTTTATGCACTGACATTTACACATCCATTTGACAGATGAGAAAACTGAGCCCCTCAGAGGGCTACAGGCTATGCAAGTAGAAGAGCTAAATCTGTAACCCAGAACTTCAAACTCCCAGTTTTAAATTACTTTCATTATCCTTTTCATGGACATAAGGTTAAGAAAAGAAAATCAGAAGGGAAACTTCAAAAAGATCATGAAAAACACATACTATGAAACAAATTATGTATGGATTTCAAAAACTGTTTATGTTAAATAAACTCATACTCGAATTCCATTTTTCTTTTTAGTTTTTTTTATAGGATGCGTACACTCACGAGAGAGAGAACGTGCAAAATCATCCCCAAGGCAGTGGCTAGGCCACAATCCCTTGTCCTCTGATCTCAAGATTTGAGGGCATGCATGCACACCCAGTCAGTGTAATTTTCAAGCTTCTGGATCTGTGATTTGAATCGCACAGTTGGCCATATGGCAACTTACCGCCTTAACCTCTATACCACCTAATTCTGTTTTTCTGAGAACTTTGTGAAGTCACCCTGTACTAAGAGGATAAAAAACATAGACTACTAAGGTATCAATGTTAATACCAGAGTTCACTTGTTTAAAGCAAGAAGTTAACATTGTATCTCTTCCGTTTTAAAACAATATTCAGTACTTCCCCTGTGCCTACTGTGAAAATTAAAAGGTTTTCTTGTCATTTAGTGCAATTTCTCAAGTAAACTCCCAAGTTTGAAAATTACAAAAATATGTATCTTCTTGTATGTCCTTGTATGTTTGCTTACAGTTTCTTCTCTATATATCTTTAACCTCCTTACAATATCTATATCTTACTTCTGTCATGTGTTAAATTGATTTATCAAATGCCCATGTGATACTTACTATGTGGTAAGCACTCTTTGAAGTGATTCAGAAATGTTAACTCACTAATCTTCAGAACAATGCCATGAGATAAGTATTATTACTCCGTTTTACAGTTTACATTTGATAAAACTGAGGTACAGAAACATGTCGCTTTGGGGCCGCCAGGTGGCGTGGTGGTTGGGACGCTGGACAGTCCCACATGGCCAACCATAGTTTGAGTCCTGGACCTGGTGGCTTGCTTTCTCACTTTCTCTCTCTGTCTCTGTATGTCTCTCTGATCAAATTAAAATAAATGAGTGAATAAACAAAATTGAATAATTCTTAAAAAAAAAAAAAAAGAAACATGTCGCTTAGATTCCAGAAAGAGGAGTATAGTTTCAAAATGGAGTGTCTTAACCACTACACTATGTCACAGGAATTTCAAAACTGAAAAAACATTTAGCACATACTGATGTCCAAATGGCATGCTACCAAAGGCCTTCCAGTTGTAGAATTCATTACCTTGTAAATTAGCATCATCTGGTCTAGCACTCATCTTTTCAGACTCAGAAACCTGGTAATATTTTTAAGCAATAGTACCAACAGTAGATCCTTCTCTTTGGGTGTACTTTTAATGGCTCAGCCCTAGTTTAATGTCTCAAACTATTAGGTGTCGGGAAAGTCATGACATTCCTTTCTATGCAAAAATGCATCGTGACCTTCCCAATAACCCAATAGAATCCCATTTTATTAACTTACAAGGAGTAGAAGTATCCATCACATGGACCAAAATACTCACATCAGTATGGCCAGAATTCTCTTCCTCTCAGCAGTCATGGAAGTCCAGATGGCTCTTGGAAAGGAGCCAAGTCAACATGGCATCATAACCAGGAGTGTTCCTCAGACAAACAGAAAGTCCATTGATATCAGATAATCAGCACGAGTCCTCTATAGCAAGATAGCAACAGCTTTGCCAATGGGATGTGAAGTATTTGAAGTTCATTGGTAGTCTGGGACATTGCTGGACTGGGACTGACACATGTATTGCTGTCATGCACCTTTTTTTTTTCTTAGTCTAATACCTAATCAACCCCTCTCTTTTTGTTTTTCCTGCATATCAGTGTCAATTTGGTTATAGTCAAGTCCTTAGGCTTAAGACTCCTTCTATCTTTTTAAGTAGCCTTTTATAAAAGTCTATTTTCAGATGATATTTTCTTCTTGTTAACATTCTTGTCACAAATACTATATAGCATTTTTTTACACTAAATTATGACCATGTGACCAATTTTCTTCATAGCAAAGACCAAAGCATATTCATTCTTTGTGTTTCCCAAAGGGAGCTTTTTGGCCAGCACAAAACAGGAGCTCTAGGAAGTTTGTTGCACACAAAAGTGAAGTAGAAGGTATTAAAGCCTTGTGATTGTGGATGTGAGTTCTGAATCCAGATGGCCTAGTTTCAAATCTCAGCTCTACAATTTGATAATTGTGTGATTTCAGCAAGTTACTTAACCTTCTAAAGATTCACTCTTCTCATAGATAAAGTGGATATGATAATAGTAACCTATCTCTCAGGGATTTTTAGAAAATTTAATACATGTAACAACATTTAGAAAAGTACCTGGAAGGCCATAACTCTTAGTTATTAGCATAATAATTCTCTCAGAATTCCATGATATATTTTTACTTAGTTTTTTAAAATGTGTGATATAGGGCCAGCCTGGGTGGATACAACATGCCAGCTGCACAGTTCAAGTCCTGAACCTTGCTTGAAAAACAGGCTTGGCACATGTGCATGTGTGTCTATAATCCCCAAAGGAGGAAGAAATAGAGAAAGGATTGTAACATGAATAGTCCCTAGAAGGGATACTCTCACTTTCTCTCTCTCTCTCTCTCTCTCTCTCTCTCTCTCTCTCTGTCTCTGTCTCGCATACACATACCCTCTAGCAAATTTTTTTTTAAGTGTGACTTATTTTGAAAAGAGCAGACTACTGTTTGTCAAGGTTTAAGTGTCATCATTTAGTGTTTTAACAAAAATCGATTCTTTTTTCCTCAAGAATTCAGTAAAATGGAACCTCCCATGTATTGCTGGTAGGAGGTAATAATGGTACAACCTTTATGCAATATAATTTGGCTATATTTATCAAGGGTTTTACAAAAGTTCATTCCCTTTAGTCTAGTAATTTCCCTTCTAGAAATTTGTTCTAAAAAAACAGTCAGAAACTTGAATAAAATATATGCATGGAGATGGTTTATCACACCACTATTTATCAAACCCTAAATTGCAAATTACTCAAATGACAATAGAAGAATTATTACACAAATTATAGCATTCAATGGAATATTATGTAGCTCTCAAAAAAGTGTGTTTATAGTTATTTAATAGTTAAAATATATGCATGGAGATGGTTTATCACACTACATTTATCAAACCCTAAATTGCAAATTACTTAAATGACAATGGAAGAATTATTATACAAATTATAGCATTCAATGGAATATTATGTAGCTCTCAAAAAAGTGTGTTTATAGTTATTTAATAGTGTGGGAACATACCTACAAAAATTTTAAGTGGAAAAAGAATAGACTACAAAATTATGTAAGTGGTATGGCTTCCACTACACTGGAAAGGAATAAGTAGATCATAATAATAGTAATTGTCTTTAGATGAGGAAACTCCAGAGGACTTTTTTTTTTTTTTTCCCTTTTTGTATTTTATCAGAGGACTTTTTTTTTTTTTTTCCTTTTTCGTATTTCATCTTTCCAGAGCCTCTATAATGAGCATGTACTTTCAGGATAAAAATAGTTTTATATGAATTTTAACTTTTTATATACTTAGAAGTGAGATTTTTTAAAAGACATATTAAATGTAAGTTACATTTTTATCACATTGAAAATCTGTTTTTTTCAGTATAATATCTCTTCATTTTTATATCAGAAATAATTAAGAAAATGGGATTAATAAGTATTTTTCAGAAAAATGCACTAATATTTATTTGGTTGAATAGAAATTAAGTACTTATTTTTAAAAAAATACTGGAAGGCAATCACTGCTTAGTTTCAGCTGCTATAAAGAAGTAAATTTAAATGTATAACTTTTTTTATACCTTCTCAATTTAACATTTAACAGTAACTCCTCTAAGCCCCTACTTAGAAGAAAAGGCAAACCCTTACACTAGTATAAAGAGGAAATTGTTTTTTAGGAGTCCAAATGTTAAGCTTTTCATAGTAGTAATGAGACGTTTTTCCTTTTGTGACCTAGGAGCTGTGAAGGAAGAAATATCCGGTATCGAACATGCAGTAATGTGGTAAGTACGAGGTTCTGTGATTGTGATTATGCATTTTCTTTTTCTTAGCACAGTAGAGTGCTAGGCAGTTTTAGGTATCCTCAGCAGTATATCAATCATCTAGTATTTCACTAAGAGTGTTTTATCTTGTACTGTACTGATTATGTAGTATTAAATGCTATTTTCAATATTTAGTATTACCTTCTAATTATTTGACCAGATTGAAACTATCTAGATCATTTCAAAACAAGGACTCTGCATTTCCTCTCTGCTTTCTGCTTTTTCACAAATCGGTCTCATAGAAATGAGTAAAAGGGATGGTAAAATGAGTAAAAGGGGAAGCTCTTGGGAGATGGTGAAATAAATATTACTTAACCAAACTCAGATTTGACAAACTCATTCATTCATTCACTCATTCAACAAATATTCAATGCCAACTGCGTGTGAAGCACTACACTTGCATAAGGATAAATAACATGTGGCCACTGTCTTAAAACATCTATAGTAAAGCAAAGGTGTAAAAAGAGAAGACAGATGCGTACATAACCACATTATAGGGGAAAATTTGACAAATAAATAAATAAAAAAAAGAATAAAGTTCTTTGTGGGTTAAAACTGGATCTTAAGGAAAAGATTATTTGAGGTATGGCTTGGAGAGCTATAGGACTGACCCATATTGGGTACAAGGGGATGACATTCAGGCCAAGTGGAGGGGATGCAGTGAAAAACATTGGGGACAGGAATGTTGAAATTGTGTTCCGAAGGGGCCGGCAGGTGGCATGGTGGTTAAGGGTGCTGGACTGCCACATGACCAACTCTCCACCCCACCCCATCAAATTAAAGTAAACAAATAAAGTTAAATAAAATAATTCTTTTTAAAAAAATGTGTTTTGAACACTAATTGCCATAGGATTATGTATAGCAGTGTGGAAGAGAAGTAGTGAAAGAAATTTTGAGGTTACACCATGAAGGTGATGTGAATGTTTGGCTTCCAAGTTTTTATTGATTCAGCAAATAATGGGAGTCACTTACAGTTTGGGAACAAGAATGCAATGTTGCAGAATTTCACTTTAGAAAAGTTAATTCCAGGGTGAGAAGAGCCTGGAACAGGGAATGGATGGGAGAAGGAAGTAACGAGGTGTAGGCTGGTAGGAAGTAGGTACAAGAGAGAACCACATTAAGGTCCCTCTTCAAGATCTGACATGCATTTGATATTAGACTGAGGGGCTGGAGTGGGAATAAAGTACACAAAGACGTATATGTATATTGAGAGATTTTGTACTTGCTGATCTCTTTGTTCGAAAATTTCATTCCTCAATATGTACATAATTGGCATTTTCATTATCCCAGTCTTGGCTCAAATGTCACTTTCTCAAAGAGGCTTCCTTGACTGTCTGCCTTATCTAATGTATTACCATACTGCCCCTCCCCATCTGTCATAATAGTCATTCGCTTTTTACTTTCCTTATAGCACTTAGCCCTACCAAAACTTATTGTATTTCAGGATTTCTTTGTATTGTGTTTCTCCACACTATGATATACCCCATAAACATCCAGAGTCTCATTCATCTCATTCACTCCTTAATCCCCAGTGCCTAGAACTGTTGACACATATTTATATAGTCAGCAAACTATAGATATTTGTTGAATGTGAAATGAATACTCAGGCTTCTGGAAGAATGGTGAATGCCATTATAAGAAGTAATAAATTTGGGAGTGGTTTTGGAAAAGAAAAATAATGAATTTGCTTTGAGAACACGTTGAGTTTGACATGTAGACTGGATTGGTCATTAATATATTCAACTAGGTAGTGAGGAGTTTGCTCTGGAAAACAGATCAGGGCCCAAGCCATAGAAACACAAAATAAGAAACACAAAGTTTAAAGATTTAAAAGCAGTATGTTATGTACAGAGCATAGGATGAGAACAAGAAACCTTGGAATGTTGTTGAACATTTGCATTATAATAGAAAGTACAGAGCCAGATATGCCATAGAAGATATCGTAAGAGAGGCAGAAATAGTAAGAGAGAATTCTGAGATGTTCATTCAGTCAGATTAAATATTGCCGAGAACTAGAAGACTTAAAAAAGGCCAGTGAGGTGCTGGACTCTTACATGGCCGAATGTGGTTCAAATCCTGGACTTGGCAGCATGCTTTCTTATTTTCCCTCTCTGTCTCTCTCTGGTGAGTTCACATACCCTATAACAAATTAAATAATAATAATAATAAAATTAGTAATAAAAAAAGCAGTAAGCAGAAATAAAAAAGATTAACTTTGTTTGAAAAAGAAAAAAGTGCCAATGAAAGAGTAGGTTCTATAGAGTATTAGGAACAAAGCAAGATTGCTGGGAGGAAATAAGAATATTAATCGGGAGCTTAGCTGGAAGAGTAGAAACTCTCTTACAAAGTGTTTAACAGGTATTTCATCATTTGTGAAGTCATGGAAGAGTTGTTTATTTAAAATGAGATACCCTTGGGGAACAAGTTGATACAGAGGAAGAAGCTGACAATAGGAGGAGGAAGAGGTTTACTGATGCCATAGATCCCAGAGGAGACAGTACGTGACAAAAAGAATAATCTTGGGACCAATAGATGGCATAGTGATTACATCACTGGACTTCTACATGACTGATCGCAGTTCGCGCCCCAGACCCAGTGGCTTGAAAATCATGCTAGGCATGTGTGCATGTACGTCCAAGATCCCAGGGGGAAAATGGAGAAGGGTTTGCAATATGGTCTTCATCCTGCAGGGGGGGGGTGATTTCTCACTTTCCCTTTTTCCCTCTCCTTGTCTCTGTCTCTCTTCAGTGAGTACACGCACCCTATGGCAAAAAAACTCTAAAAAAAAGAATCTTGACAAAGGGGAAGGATATATACTTCATTCTCAGAAGACAGAACAAGCTAAGGAAGGAAAGGAGAAGATACAGAAAGATTTTTAAAGAAGAAAAATGTGGAAGTTGCTTATGATAAATAGGGTCAACCTTCTCTGTAGGGAAGTTTTCTGAGTTACTTGCTAAAAGTAAAGGGATAAGTTGGACTTTGGAAAGTAAACAGGAAGGTCTAGAATGCCACTGGAGAGATTGGGGAGGAGCAAGCAAAGCAAAATGAAAGGAGGGCTAGGCTGTGGTTTGGGGGCTCGGTCTCACAGAGAACACGGTCAGCAAGGTTTTAAGACTCAGCAACATGGCATCACTGAGAAGCACAGAAATAGGAAAAGAGAAAACAGACATCAGGTGACAGAGGCCAGAATATTGATGAGATGAGAAAGATTAAAATTAATATAAATTATATGTATTTTAAAAGCCTGGTCAGAGAAACATCAGGAACTACAAGCCACAATGACAGGGAATAAGTAATTATTGAATTAAATTTTTTTCTAGCTAATTTCTCTGTTTGTGTCTAGGCTTCTAGGTCCCAGATAACACTTTATATTCTCCACTGCCATAACTGACTCCAATGCCAGTTGATTTAAAAATCAAATAGATACAGCTTTTAAATTAAATAAAGAAGATACCAAGAGCCTGTTTTAAAATCAGATGGAAAGATTTTTTTGATAAGACTATAACCTATTTCATCGATTTTCTCTACCTTTTTATTGTAATGATGTGAAGTGTCTTCAAAAAGTTGATAGAAAATGCATATTATGAAAAAACTGTGCATAGATTTCAGAATTTTTTGCACCAAAATAAACTCAGACTTAAACTTCTTTTTTTCTACAAACTCTTTGAAGTCACCTCATATCTCATATGTCAATTGTGGTTTGTTTTTAATTGCAATATGGCATTAAAGAATTATCTTTTTTTTTTTTGGAGAGGTTTTCACTATAGGGCACGTGCGCTCGCCAGACAGAGACAGAGAGACAGAAAGCGAGAAATCACCCCCCGGGGGGATGGCCACACCGCAATACCTTCTCCTCCATTCTCCTCTTGGGATTTTGGGCATGTATGCACACATGCCCAGCGTGAGTTTAAGCCACTGGGTCCGGGACCCGAACCGCGGGCAACTACATGGGAGTCCAGCAACATGGCCATTACGCTAACTGCTGGTCCCAATTAAAGAATTAACTTCTAATCATTTTCTTCCCAGCTTTTAGAATAGCAGGAGGGGCCTACCTATCTATCTATCCTAAGTGGATGAATGCCTAAACATCATGAGTGATACCTGCCTGCCCTTTCTGTAAAGCTCTTCTGAAGCAACTCCCAACTTCCTTGCTACCATGAGTGATTCTTGGACAGATGGAGGCTAAGACTGTGACCTAATATTACTTAAAGCCCAGAGCATAAAAAAAGCCATATCTTTACAGCTTGTAAAATCAAACTGACACTGAATTTTTTTTATGAGAGCCTAGAATCTTCAAATAATTTGAAGCTTTTCTTTTTCCTGGGCTTGCATTAGTCCTGAAGGGAAACTTAAGTGCAACAATTTCCCCCCCCCCCCAAAAAAAAAAAAAACAAGCAGAAAAATCTCTTAAGAAAGAATCTTTTCATAGTCACATTCCAATTTTGTAAACTCAGAAGTTCAGGACAATTCAGTTAAAAATTCCACTTGAGATACTTGTATTGGAAAAGCTTGGGGATCTCTTAGCTAAGCCTCCAGAGTCTCTCCTTAATCTCTGGACAGCTTCCTGGGGCAATTCTGACCTACTTGCCTTCAAATATTCAACCTCTATTCCTATTCTTTATATCATGCTACATATAACATTATTGGCGTCCTTGTTCCCCAAGATGAGATGAGGAGTAGAAAAGGTCTCCCTAACTTCTCTAACTTTTCTGGCATGCCTGAAGAATTTGCTCATGGGCCTTTAAAGGTTTATCGCTAATCACTCTATAGACAGAGAATATCAGTATAGGAAATTTAAAGTTCCCATAATCTTTGCATATTTCTCATAGTCTTGCTACCTTCTTATACTATTTTTAATTGATGCTAGGAGAGGTATTTTAATTCCTAGGGGCATAGTTTGTCTAATCTTTCCCATTTTGTAATTCTCTGCTCTGAAGAAGCAGCAAGACCCTCTCTCTGTG